AAATCATTCTATTGGGTATACATAAATGCCAAATATTAATGTACTATAGAAAATTAAGTAAATTATAGCTGATGAGAGGTTACACTAATTGCCCTTCATCCCCTTTTGCAGGCTTCACTACAAAGCCTTTCTTGGCTCACAAGTAGGGGATTTTGTATATATTGTTTATTATTTCACTCCAAGCCCAAAAGCCACAACAAAGCAAAATTGATAACAATTGTAAACATTAGATAATAACATCTTTGCACAGCAGAGCTATCAGAGCTCACTAGATAATAGGCAGGCAAGCACTTTGGAAAATTCAAAGCACTGCAAAAATGTAAGGAATTATTGTGTGAAAAAAATTTCAAAGGTAAAATTTGTCAAGAGCTCCATTAATACACATTACTTTCAAGCTATAGATGTAAAACAAATCAAGAAGTTTCCTCGCTAAATATAGTAACTAATGCAGTCTGATAGCTATTTTTTTGTAATGTACACTAAGAGGTATCACTTTAGTTTTTAAGAAATTCAATCACCCCTGTGTCTCCTACCAAAGGTATTAAGAAAAAATTCTCCACAGGAAGTAAAAGAGAATTTTATGTGTTAATATTCATATAAATCCTTATGTTTTAAAAATCCTCACACCATTAAGAAATTATTAAATTTAGGTAGGACAATGATAGTGAGACATGTTTTATGAATGTTCTCATTTGTTGGAGTTATATAATGAAATATTTACAGATAAATTAATATATCTGCAGTTTACTTCAAAATGTCTGGGAAGGGTGAGGTGGGGGCACAGCCAGCCACGTTTTTGCTAATTGCTGAAGTTATGCATGGAAGAATTCTATGTATGTTTGAAGTGTTCTTTATGATAGCTCAAGGAAACTCATTTTAAAACCACACTTGAAGCATTTGGAATATTTCTAAGGGTTAAACCAGAGAGCGTATGAGAATCTGCTGCCAGAATACTGACCTCACAGCCCACTCTTGTCCCTCTGTCCCCACCTATTCCCTCATTCCTGCCAGAATAATATTTCTAAAAACCAAGTTAGCTCATGGAATTTCCTGCTTAAAATATCTTTTGTGAGTCCCTACCACCTCAGGATACGGTTTGTGATTCTTTCTTTTGTGACTTCACAGCGCTTTGAACTTACTCTCTTCCAGAAAGTTCATATGTAGTTTGCTCCTTTCTCTTCACGTCTTTTTTATATTTGGAAAGACTGTGAGCTCCATGGGGATAAAGGTTGTGTCTTTTCATGAAAGGCTGTGTCTTTCTATCAGTGTATGGCTCACTGTGTAGCATGTGGTAAGTATTCAATGAACTTTTGGTGGGTGAATCAATGTGGAAAACAAATTATATAAAAGTGTTTAGATCAATGAAACTTTAACACACAGAATGGTGGATAGATGGCTCATTCTTAGAAGCTGTGTTTAGTTTTGCTTTAACTCTTCTAAATAATTCAAGAAAGCTATTTATAATCAAAATTAAAGATCAATACTCAGCTAATAAAAGCACATTTAAGTTAAGAAAAAAAAAGATGAATAAGGCATGTAAGGTTTCCCTGATACTCTCGGGTGTCCATATTTAAAGCAACCTAACTACTGGGGGAGCATCCCTAATTCAAAAATTCAAATCCAAAATGTTCCAAAATCTCAAACTTTTTTGAGTGCTGATGTGATGCCATGGGTGGGAAACCTTACATCTGACATCATGTGACAAGGCCCAGTCAAAACATAGACACCTTACCAACAGCCTTCAGGCTATGTATATCAGGTATGGATTTTGTGTTTAAATTTGGATCCCATTCCCCAAACATCTCATTATTTATATGCAAATTTCTCAAATACAAAATGTAAAACACTTCCTGTCCTAATCATTTTGGTTAAGGGTTGTTCAACATATATTAGGAATGTCTAATCCTTAGCAGATAGTATTTTGGTAAAGATGGACTGCTTTAGGATAGCAATCAGAATCATAAAATTCACCTTTAAAACTCGAGTACTCCTCTACAAGTAACAAAAGACAGATACAGCCGGTTGTGGTGGCGCACACCTTTAATCTCAGCACTCAGGAAGCAGAGGCAGGTGGATCTCTGTGAGTTCAAGGCCAGTCTTGTCTACATAGTGAGTTCCAGGACAGCTGGGGCTATAGGGAGACGCTGTCTCAAAAAAACTGCCAGAGGTTGGGAAATACCATCTACGCATAGGGAAGAGACATCAGACGTGGCGTAGGAGGTGAAGCAGCACGTTTATTTATTTGTTTGCCTATTTTATTCATTTATTATTGTGTGCATAACATGTATGTGGTGTTCCCGTATCCCACAAGTTTTACTGAGTCCCTGCCCCATGCCTGGAGTTGTTCTCAGTGCCGAGGAGAGAGTAATCCAAAGACCCAACTTCCTGGAGATGACCAAGTGTCAGAAAAGACCGGTGATCGGCAAGCAGGGGGTCAAGCTCAAAAAGACAAAAATAAAAAAAAGACAGATACATTAGACATCACTACGATTAAAGCTCTGCTCATTTAAGGAAACTAGAGTGCAATGGGCTGGAGTGTGGCTCAGAGATGGAGCACTTGACTAGCGTGCACAAAGTCCTAAGTTCAAACCCCCAGTGCTGCAGAAAACAGAGATGGGTAGGGAGTATGGGGGAATGGGGAAGGGGGAGAAGGGGGTGAAGAAGGAGGCGGCAGCAGCAGAGGTGCAAGGAAGGAAATACAGTGAAAATAACTTAGAACAGAAGAAACTATCTGTAAAGCATGTACCTGATAAAGGTCTAATATTCGGAGAACACAAGTTGAAAATCAAAGACAATAATGCTTTTTTAAGAAAGAGGGGCCTGGAGAGATGGCTCAGCAGTTAAGAGCACTAACTGCCCTTACAGAGGACCCAGGGTCGATTCCCAGCACCCACATGATGGCTAACAACTGTCTGTAACTCCGGTTCCAGGGTTTCCAATGCCGTCTTCTGACCTCCAAGGGCACTGCATGGCATGCGTGCACTTACATACATGCAGGCAATACACTCATACACATAAAATAAATTAAAAAAAAAATCAAAGACAAACAACCCCAGTAAAAGTGAGCATGGAGTCTGGCCTGGTAGCACAGGCCTGTAATCCTAGCTACTCAAGCGTTGGAGGTAGAAAACTCTCAAGTTCAAGACTTGCCTTGGCTACAGAGTGAGTTCAAAGCCAGCCTGGGCAACTTAGTGAGACCCTGTTTCAAAATAAAAACTGCAAATAAGGATGGGAAGATAGTTCAGTGGTAGACTTGCCTACACACACACACACACACACACACACACACACAACAACAACAACAAACCAAACAGAATACAGAATGAGCATATTGATGGATGGTGAAATCAGCTTTGTGCTCTTCAGGACTTGCTGGGTCTAAGGTTGTCTCTTACAATGATAAAATGTTTTTGGGGGCTGGAGAGATGGCTCAGTGGTTAAGAGCACTGACTGCTCTTACAGAGGACCCAGGTTCAATTCCCAGCACCCACATGGCGCCTACGAACCGTCCTTAACTCCAGTTCCAGGGGAATCCAAAGCCCTCTTCTGACCTCTGGGGAATTGCACCACATGGGTGCACTCACATACATGCAGGTAGTACACTCATACACATAAAATAAAAATAATATATAAACTCCAATGGACTCTCATATGAACATTTGAAAAGTGCCCTGTTCTGACTTTTTTCTAGTTCCCTGTCTAGAACATGTAATGCTAATTACTCTTACCTTTACTTCTCCTTCACATCTCCTATTCACCAGTCAAGGACTTTCTTAGAGACAAGAGTTATGCAATTTGGGAGTCTTTTAGATAGACCCACTGAAGGGGTTCTCCAATTGCCTCACCCTGTGTTCCTGTTCAGCATGGAAGAAGCCAGAGCAATCTGCATCCTTATTCCCTATTGGCAATTTGGGTAACCCTTTCAGAGGATAATGTGATAAGAATAGGAGGTAGGAATTGGCTGCGCAGTTAGGGTAAAAAGACCCCAAAGAAATGTTTCTTGGCTAAAAGTCAAAATGTCCTTGGGCCTGTTAGCAATGTACTCCATTCCAAAGGCCAAAAATGTCAAAAGTGTTTTGGAGCTTGTACCTAATCTTGAAAGATTTTAGGGTTACCTTTTCAGAGGGGGGGGAATGTTGGAGGGGAGGGAGTGGGCATGGATTTGATCAAAACACCTTATATACATGTATGAAATTCTCAATAAAGTTTTTGTAAAAATTTAATAAAAGATATCTAGGTCATCTAAAGACCTTACCATATTGTTAACATTCAAAATATTTTTTTTAATGTTTTCAAACTAGATAGTGATAATGGTTGTAAAACATTGTGAATAAGTTAAATGTTATTGAATTCCTACTTCAAAATTATTAATATCGTAAATTTGATGTTATGTATATTTTTTCAAAATAAAAACATGAAATTTTCTGAGACCAACTTTCAAAGCTTTTGTGTTGAAGCACATGGTCTGGGTCCTAGGAGCATGGCAAGCACACAGTGATTTGATATAAAAGGTCTTGTGGGAACACACTTGAGAAACGCTAACATGGCGTTTGTATGGGTATTTAAATACCTTCCATAGTAAAAATCTCCCAGCATATCACCTAGCAAGGAAAATGTCTAAGACGCATGACATGTTACCCTCTAGAGTTCCTACTTCTTAACTTAGAAAACTGCTAACAACTTTCAACGACATTGCTGCAGAGCCTGGTTACATAAGCAAGCGTTCAACTTCCCCATTCAGAACTCTTCTGCCTTGACACCTGAAATCAGTTTTGCTCCTTGGTCAAGGTCATTCTCCCTTATGCTTTTGATATTCCTCTTCTCTCTCTCATAATCTTAGCATTTTTCTTTCTTTCTAATGTCTCTTTCTTTGCAGTCTAAAACCAGGTACATGCTTCTACATCTTAATAATGGGTCTCCCTTGACCTCCAAGATCCTCAGGAAGCCAGTGGGCATGTTCTTGCTTAGTTCCCTCCTCCTTCTCCTTCCCTGTGCTATACCTGTTTAATCCTTGAAGCCAGCTTCTGAGACTTGGGCTGCTTTCATCCACTTCACTATGGGGAAAACGATAAACTCCATCAGGACCTGAGTTCAGGAACAGGAGCTCTGGGCCTTCCTGCTGCTCTTCAGATAATGTGAAAGTATCTCTGTTCATGCTCAGTGAATTCTTACTGAACCAAAATAGCATCTCTCTGATTTGAAAAGCTTCGAGAGTAGAGGAAGTTAAGGCAGAAAATCCAGGTTTAATGATGTTGACTCATTTGGAGCTTGCCAAACTTAAATAAGTCATCCTGACTCAGAAGTCTGCACCATTTCAAAGTAATTTTGATAGGCAGCAACTGGAAACTTGTCCATGAGCCCTCAGAAACCTGTGGTCCAAGACACCCTGTATCAATACCACAGACATTGAACAGTTCACAGCCAAGGACTTTTTCTGAGATTTCCTAGTACTTTTCCTGAATCTTCCCCCACCCCCATTTATTAGAGAGATATTCTGAAATAAACAGGTGGAGGAAAAACCAAGCCAAAACAAAAGAAACCAAACAAGAGTGGGCAGTTCTGGCAGGATGCTTACCTAAATACACAAGTCTAACAAAGCAAATGAACTTTTTGTGCTTTTATAAACATCCTCTTCCACTTTTGTTCCTGTATAAATTCCTAGGATTTTAAAATCTTCTTTGACAAGGCACTTCTAAAGCTCTTCTTTAAGGGAGTGACTCTAGATAGGCTGACTAGACTCCAGTGGGTGAACTTGCTCCGAGATACATCCAGGTACAAATGCTGGACCAGATGGGATGTAACATATATGACACAATGCATGAAATCCAGTAAGGGTGGGGCTATAGGGGGCACGGAGAGGGGAGGGAGTCTAAATTTGATTAAGCATCTATTATATGAAATATACAAAAACTCAATAAAAATATTTTAAAACCCCATATAGTACAAGCTGCATTTTTTCACTTTGGAATGAATTTGCTTTAATTTTTACTGACAGTGAAATAATTATTGGATTCATTTACTCATGGAATTTATTCCTGGTTAGTGAACTACCTGCGTTACAAGAGTCAAAGTATGCTGTGGACATTTGCACCCTTGGGTATAGAAGACAAGGAAGGAAGGATGACGTACACAACCAGGGACAGAGCGCAGTTAAGGGCTGAAGAAGCTCATTCACATCAGCTTCTGTCAGATGTCCTCAGTTTTCCTTGAGCCCTGCTCTTATGCAGGCATTGTGCGCAGTGATGAAGACACAAAGATGAGACAGAGGTTCCTACCGTGACAGTGTTTCTGTTTCACAGTATAAAGTCTTACCACACCTGGAGACAAACCCCAATTCTGATGAGAAGGATCAGACACGAATAGCCCAACAGTGAAATCCCCAAATGCAAAGGGTTCCCTTCCGTTGGCCTGACCACTGAGATGTCATACATCAGGATGAGTGATCTTGCTATCAGAGCATCAGACTTGAACCCAGACTTTTAAGAAAATCCTAACTAAGAAAAAACAAAATACTACTTGTTACTGTTATTGTTTATGAAGGGGTGGGGGGTGGTGAGCAGTAATTGGAAGGCTCTAGAACATACTTTTAGGAGCGTTGGAACACAGTGTGTCTTCTGCTGCAGTGTTCCAAGGGAATATTTTTCGTGTTACTCATAGGAACAGCTGACTGGGAATTTCCCTGCTTGTTAGAGTGAATGAATTTAGCAAGAAAAGTCCTGAATCTTTTCACTTCCTCCCATCATAAGTCAGCAGTACCTCAGGACAGGAAAGAGCAAACAAGTGTCAGACAGAAGTTATTCATCTACAAATGATTCAGGTAACTGGGGTTTTCTTTCTGAGTTTTCTACCCCCAGGCAGGGAGTTTTTGTAGAAAAACAACAACAAAAAGAGCTACTGGCCTGGCTTTCCATGCCTCTGCTCTCCCAGGGGCAGTCACATTCCATTCTGGAAGGCAATTCTGCAGAAGGCCAGGGCGGCTATGCAGGTGGAATGTGCCCCACCTCTAAGCACCCCCAAGATTCTTAATGATGGCTGTACTTCCCCAATTCTAACTATTCTTTTTTCATTCAGGAAATACTTTAAGTGTCTTACTTGTTAGGCACCATGTAGGTGCTGAGAATTATAGTGAGGGAAAGTGGTCAGAGACTTACAGCATGTTGGGTAAGGTACCATCAATCAGTGTGTGACATAAATGGGGGATGAGTTGGAGGAAAACATTGAGGAAAAGAAACATAGCACTTAGCTGCTTCCCAAAGTACCAGAAATGGACTGAAGTGGTGGCAGCTTGGGGGATAGAGCTGAGAGATGAGCTGGAAGATTCCAAAAGAAAGGAGAAATCCAGGAGAAGAGCATCAAGGAGAGCTGCTTACCAGTGCAGAGGCTGAAAGAGCAGAGAGAACATGATTCTAGGTAAGGAGGAGAGCAGCAAAAATGGAAAAATGAGAGGAGAGTGAGAAAGAGAGAGGGGGAGAGGGAGAGAGAGGGGAGGAACAGAGGGGGAAAGAGGGAGGGAGGGGGAGGGGGAGAGAGAGAGAGAAGGGGAAGGAGAGAGGGAGGAAGGAGAAAGGGATCAATATATAAAAAGCATATTGTATTTCTACACATTAGCAATGAACAACCAAAAATAAAACTAAGAAAACAATCTCATTTATAAGAATATCAAAAAGGACAAAATACTCATTGGGAGTAGATTTAACAAAAGAAATACAAGCTTTGAGTACTGAAAACTACAAGACATTGTTGCGAGAAATGTAAGAAGCCCTAAATAAAGTGGCGCGTGTTCACGAACTGGAAGATTTAAGATGTATTAACCTCAGGTTACAGATTCAACATAATTCCTATCAATATCTCAAATGATTTCTCTGTAGAAATCCTCAACCTGATCCTCAAATTCATGTGGAAACTCAGGGGACTTAGGGAAACAGTCTTTAAACAGAAAGACAAAGCCGAGGATAGACATACTTCTGGGTTTCAGAGCTTCCTATGAAGCTGCAGTAATGAAGACAGTGTGCTATTGGCCTGCGGACTAACAGGCAGCTCAGGGAGGCAGCCCTGACAGTCCAGAAACAGACACTTCTGCCTCAGTGGGTTAACGGAGTTACTCACGCTCATGAGGGCACCAAGACAGTTAAAGAACAGACTATTCAATAGCCACGCCAGGACAAGTGAAGTCACATGCAAGAGAAGGACACTGTACCTCTCCTTCATATTATGTGCAAAAACTATCTATCTGTCCTCTATCTATCTATCTATCTATCTATCTATCTATCTATCTATCATCTATCTATCATCTATCTATCTATCATTCTATCTGTCATCTCTCTATCATATCTATTTTTGAGATGGGGTCTCACTGTGTAGCCCTGGCTGGTCTGGAACTCACAATATAGACCAGGCTGGCTTCAAACTCTCAGAAATTTGCCTGCCTTTGCCTCCTGAGTGCTGGGACTAAACATTTGCGCCACCACATCTGGCACCAGACTCTTTTATACTGAATGGATGCCTTCCTTTCTTTTCCTGTTGCTGTGACTAGATACTCTGACAAAAGCAAATTAGGGGAGAAAGGGCTTGTTGAGCTGACAGTTCCAAGCTATAGTCTGCCACGACAGGGAACAGAAACGAGCCCCTTAGCTTTATTAACTGAATCTACAAACATCCTATAGCTAATACCCTATTAATGTAAAAGAATATTTTCCTGAGATGGGAAGAAGACAGAATATCTGCTCTCCTACTCCTATTAAACACCATGCAGGAAGTCTCAGTCAACATAGTCAGGAAAGGAAAACAAACAAACAAAAGGCATGTGATAGCTGAGGACGAGCTAAAACCATTTCTATTAGCAGATGGTCGTCTACATAGGAAATCTGAAGGCAGGCCTGGGGACATGGCTCAGCAGATAACAATGCCTACTGCTCTTTCAGAGGACCAGAGTTCTGTGTCCAGCACTGACGGTGGGTGGCTCACAACCCCTGTAACTCCAACCCCAAAGGGACCTAACAATCTTTTCTGACCTCCAAGGGCACTACACACATGTTATAAGCTCCCAAACAGACAGACACACATACACATATTTAAAAATGAGAAGATTTGAGGGCATGTACAAAAACTCCTTGGGGGTGCTGGAGAGATGGCTCAGTGGTTAAGTGCCTTAAACGTAAAAGAACTATACAACTTCAGAAAGGCAATGGTTTCTTAGATATGACACCAAATTCACAAGTGACAAACGATAAAAATAGAAAGTTGAGCTTCATCAGAATTCTGTGCTTTGAAGTACACAATCAAAAAAGGAGAAAACACCCCACAGAACAAGAGAAAATATTATAAAACCATAAAGCACCTGAGACATATATCTAGAGCACATAGTCTTACAACTCAAAAAAAGAGAAAAAAACCAATGAGAAAGTGTGCAAACTGTTCTGTTCACAAGCAGAACAAATACACAAACACAGACCTCCTCACAGAAGTTAACTCGAAATTACATTAACCTAATGCAAAAGGTGAAACTACTAAACTCTTGGATGATAATATAGAAAATCTAGATGATGGGTGTGCGGAAAACTTTTATGCTTAACATCAAAGGCATGATCTAAGAAAAAAGTAATTGGTAAACTGAATTTCATGAAGATTAACACTTCTGCCCTGCAAAACACACTGTCAAAGAATGAGAAGACAAGCCACAGGCTGGATGAAACGATTTACAGAAGACATATCTACATCTGATAAAAGACTTACCCAAAGTATACAAGGAGCTCTTACAACATAGTGGTATGAAGTGAGCAGCTTAGGTCAAAAATGGGTGAAGAGCTGAGTGGACACTTGACCAGAGAAGATGCAAATGTGCAGATGAAAAGAGACTCAATATCACGCTCTAGGGAACTGTAAATGAAAACAACAATGATACCCCACTGAGCACTTAGAGTGGCCAAGATCCAAAATAACACCCAATGCTGATGAGGCTGTGAAGCGTTGGGAACTCAGAGCTGGCAGGACTGCAGAATACTATAGCTACTTTAGACAAGAAGTGATTTCTCACAAATGTAAACAACACTCTTATTGGACGACCCAGCAAGCACAGTCCTTGTTTTTGCCCAAATGAACTGAAAACAAGTCTATACAAAACCCTGCATGTGATATTTATATCAGCCTTATTCATAATTGCTAAAATTTGGAAAAAGCCAAGGTATCCTTTTGCAGGTGCCATAGTCATGCAGTGGAATATTATTCAGACCTAATAAGAAACAAAGTCACAAAAAAGATATGGAGGGAGTTTAAGTGCATATACTAAATAAAATAATTCAATCTGGCAATGTTAGAAATGGTATGTTCAACTCTCTGACCCTGTAGGAAGATCAAACTATAGACAGTAGAAAGATCAGGGGCTAGGGCTGAGAGGGATGGACGGGAGGAAACGGGTTCAAGGCAGGGAAATACTCTGTATACACCTATGGTAGCTGACATATATCAGCACACACTTGGAGACCCTAATGTAAACCATGACATTTGATGATGTGTCAGTGGAGGGTTACTGATTCTAACCACTCTGGTGGGGAAAGGTGGGGGAAGCTGAACATGTGTAGGCATACAGGAAATACAAACTTCCTCTCCATTTTGCTGTGAACCTAAAGTTGCTCTAAAAATAGTATATTTTTAAACAAAATCCCACAGATATAAGAAACTCTGTTATTTATATCATAGCAACATTCACAATGTTCTCCCCAGCACTTCTAGGTTAGTTTATAATCAAAATTATATGTGAAAATGTATTTCTTAAACACTTTAAAAGTACGAACAAAAGGAGTTGGGGAGGTGGTTCAGTGGGTAAAAACTCTTATTGTGCAAGCATGAGGACCTGAGTTTAGAGCCCCAGAAACCATGTAAAACTGGGTGTCATAGTGTACACTTGTAATCCCAGTGCTCCTATGGTAAGAGAATTCCCTGAAGCTCATGGACAGCCAGCCTGGTATATGCAGTAGTGAACAATGTGAGACCCTGTCTCAAACAAGGTGGAAGGTGAGGACCAGACTTTTGTGGTTGTCCTCTGACCTCCACATATGTGTCCTTACACACAGATAAATGCACAGGCATCATACACACAAGAATGATTGTCTATATCTATAGACAAAGGGTTTGAATAGGCATTTATTTCTTCAAATGAGGTATGCAAAGGGCCAATAAGTATGTCATGCAGTGCTCAATAACATTCATCGGAATGGAAATACAAATCAAAACCACAGGCTACCACTTCACAGTCACCAGACTGCTTGAAATCGAAAGACAGAGAATAGTAAGTGTTGACAAGGATGTGGAGAAACTGAAACTATCATACTCTGTTGGTCAGACTATCAAGTGGCATAACCACTGTAAGAAACAGTTTGGTAGTTCTTCAAAGGGTCAAACAAATTCCCATATAACCCAGCAGTTTTGTTCCAAGGAAACTGAAAGCGTATGTCCAAAGATTTACACATAAATGTTCAGAGCAACGTTAATAGGAAAATAATTGAAACAGCTCAGACATCTATCACTGATGAATGGGCCCCCAAAAGTGGTATATACCCACCCAATCGGAGTTTAATTCACTCAGTGGAAAATAAAGTGCTGGTCCTTTCTATAGCATAGATGATCCTTGACTATTTTGCCAAGTAAAAGAAGTTGTTCACCAAAGACCACACATATCCAAATACACAAATCTGTAGAGACAGATCAACAGTTTAGGGATGGGGTAACTGGAGCTAGGGTCATGATTGCCCAGCAGTTCAGGATTTCATTTTGACGATGCGAGTGTTCTAAAAATGACTGTAGTGATGGTTGCATCTATCTGTGAGTACCCTAAAACCACTGAATTATTGAGTCTTTAAAGGGATGGACCTAAAGTGTGTAAATATTTCGATAAGCCATTATTTTTTTAAGTGGACCTAGAGCGTGTTGGTGGACACCTGATCTCCAAGTACTGTAGACTGAAGAAAATAGATCCCCTGATCTCAATCAAAAAATGACAGAGGGAGGCAGAGGCAGGCAGATCTCTGTAACTTCAAGGCCAGCCTGGTCTACATAGTGAGTTCCGGGACAGCTGGGGCTACAGGGAGACCCTGTCTCAAAAAGACAAAACAAACAAACAAACAGAAA